TCTATCTCTTGCTGCTGGATTTTGTTAGTGATATGTAGAAATATTGATGATTTATGTGGGTTTATTTCATACCCTGCAAATCTTGAAGTTGTTAATTATTTTAACTAGTTTTTTTAGTCAATTCTCTAGGATTTTCTAATTGTACCATTGCATCATCATCAAAGAGTGATGGTTTTGTTTCCTCATTGCCTATTTTAATTCCTTTAATATTTTCTTCTCTTATTGCTATAGTTAGCACTTCTAGTACAATACTGAATAATAGTGGCAATAACAGGCATCCTTATCTCACCTCTGATCTTATTGGGAAGACTTCTAACTTGTTCTCATTATAGGTAATGCTTGCTAATGGTTTTAGATAGATACTACTTATCATTTTAAGGAAAGCTCCATTTATTCCTATGCTTTCTACTGTTTTTAATAGGAATGAGTGTTATATTTTGTCAAACGTTTCTTCTACATCTATTGAGATAATCATGGTTTTTGTTGTTTTTGTTGATATGGTCAATTATACTGATGTTTTTCCTAATATTAAACCAACCCCAAGAGAATTCTGGGAAGATAGTAAAGTAGATCAGACAATTTTCAGCTTTCCAAATTTCCTCCCCCAAAAGACAGAATATTGCCTTGGGGGAATGTAGGGCAGCAAAAATAAACAAAAATTGAGGTAAAGCAGTTGTCCTCCTAAGACAGCTTGAGAAGATCCCAGGAAAGACTTGACCTCCAGAAGCAGACCCTGAGTGAGGTGCAAATACTTCTAGGCTGCTTCTGTTGAATCAACATACGATAAACACTGGGGACAGCTAGGTTAGGAGGCAGCCTCAGCAACTTTCACCTCACAGACAGTAGGGGTCAGAAGGCTGAGTTGGAGAAGATTGAAGGACTTTCCACTGTTGAGGGACACCAAGCATAGCTGTGTTGACCAGACCTGTCCTGGGCTGAGGCTGTAGGGGATAAGGAGCTAGCACATGCCTAGTGAGTGCAGTAGCAGAGGTGTGGGGCCTGCTGCCTATGGACACTTGCAAGAGAGCAGAATTGCTGCTTTCAGTTCCAGGGCAGAAAGGACAGCTGTAGTTTTCAGCCAATGGAGGGACCTTAGGGAGCAAGCTCATTTGCAGGGCAGTGTGGCTGGGGGCACTAACCATGGTTTAGGAGTGGAGAGGAAAGCCCAAGGCCCCAAGAAAAATCTCAGAAAATAACAGTAAGAAGAACCTGAGGCTTGGGGCATCATTCCCCATAACTTGGGAATAAAACTTGATTTTATTAATAGCTGCTAAAAACAAAATAAAAATAAAAATGAATAAGCAAAGGAGAAATTTAACCCTTCTTATTCACCAATAGATTTGAAACCCTTTGGTTACCTTCAATCTGGTTTAGCTCATCTGCTGAAGTGGTTAACCAAGGTACAGTCACTGCATATGCTACAGCTTCTTGGAAGCACAGATGACAGTTGGTAACCATCCCCAAGAGGTACCTAGTCTTCCCTGAACATCTGTATACCCCATAAAAAATAAACAGGAAATAATCAAAAGAGAGAAGGCACTCAGAAAGGCTTAAGGAAAGAAGATGAGATTTTATTTGGTATTTAAAGGAAGCCACAGAAGGTAGTAGGTAGAGATGATGAAAGAGCACATTCCAGGCATTGGAGACAACCAGAAAAAAAATGCCTCCAATTGGAAAGATGGAGTAAGACTAGTATCATTGAATCAAAGGGTACATGGGAAGGAGTAAAGTATAAGAAGACTGGAAGTAGGGTGGGGTAGGTTATAAAATGCTTTGAATGCCAAATAGAGCATTTTTTATTTTATCTTGGAGGTGATAGAGAACCACTAGAGTTTATCGAGTAGAGTGGGTAATATTGTTGGACCTGTGCTTTAGGAAAATCACCATGGGATACTTAAGAGTTAGAAGGCATGACTTAGATGAGAATCAACCAAGAAGATTGAAGAGTAGTCTGATGGTAGGGAACAGTGTACTGAAAACCTAGAGGGAAGAAAGTAGTAAGAAGAGGATGATCAACAATGTCAAAGACTTTAGAGAAGTTAAGAAGAATAAGAATTAAGAAAAAAAGGCATTGGATTTAGCAATTAAGAGATCATTGGTAACTTTGGAGAGAGTAGTTTTAGTGGAGTGTTGAGATTGGAGACCAGATTGTAAGACACTAACAGAGGGAAATGAGAGAAAGTAAAGGCACCTATTGTAGACTGCTTTTTCAGGGAACTAGCCACAAAGAGCAGAAGAGATATAAGACAATAGGAAGAATGAAAGGATTGAGTGTGGATTTTTTGAGGATGGAAGAGTCATGAACCTGTATGTAGTCAGTAGAGAAGAACCAGTAGACAGGGAAAGATTGAAGACAAGTGCTAGAGTATAGTTGGCATAGGGGACAATCTGTTGGAAGAGATGGAATGGAATGGGATTGCTTGTGCAGGCGGAGGAGTTAGTATTCATAAGGAGTAAGGCCACTCATTTCTTTGTGTGAGACAGGGCTGGAAGAGGAGATAGGGTCATGAATGATATGAGAAGAGGAAGAGGGAGAAGAGGAAGCTTATGGTGAATAGCCTCATCTTTTTCTTTAAAATGTAAGGTAAGCTTCTCAGCTGAGAAGGTAGGGAGGGAGGCTTCATGGAAAGGTTTGAGGAAGGAAAGGCTTGGAACAGCTGCTATGTAGAGTGGGGATAATGAGGTGATAAGGAAAGTGTAGAAGTATTGCCTAGCAGCAGTGAGGGCCTAGTTAGGTTGGGTAGCATAAATTTGCAGTGAACTCAAAATGGCTGATTTTCTCCACCTTTGTTCAGCAGCTCATGTGTAGTAATTAAAGGCAGTAATTAAATCACAGTGACAGTGATCTAAGAATAAGGTTTGGCAGGGCACAATTGGTGACATGATAAGGGAGCAAGGAACTAATGAGAAAAGGATAGTGTAGAGTTTGCATATGAAATAAGAATTCATATACAGTTTATTTCCAATAGCATATATTAAATTTAACAAACCATTGACAAAATTCTATTTTTTTTTCTATTCTTCAATTCTGTTTGTTTGCTTGCCTGTATTTTAAAGTGTTTTATTGATGGTCTTTCTCCCTTTTTTTCTCTCTCCATCAAATCAACTAATAAATATCCAAGTGCTTGTAATCTAAGCACTAACCTTACTATCTCATTGTACTCATTCATTTATTTAGTCTATCCTAGTTTTCAAGGAATCCATTACTTGGTTAAAGTTTACCTCATTTTTTCTAAGCTACTTATTCTTCTTCCAATTGTCTCCTTCAGAGATTTTGTTTCCTCTTTTTTGGCACTTGCTTTATATCTTCTATGCATTCGTATAGTCCTTATGGAAATCTAGAGACAGTCAAGTATCTGCTTGCATTTGTCTTGAAATTATTCTGCTTTGGGGAGTATCTCTAGTCCACAATATTTTTGGTACTAGCTTGTGTCTTCTTTGGTTTACTTATCTCTCCATCTTGAATTCCTGAACTGGGGCTTTGTGACAGGGCCAGAATCCATATCCTGTTACTATTTTGAGTGATGGCTATGGCCTTGTTTGGCCTTGCCCAGGGTTGCCTTGGATGTTGAACTTATCTCTTCTTTCTGCGATTAGACCCCACCTGAATTTTTGAGGTTCAGAGTGATGTATGTTTATGGTCCACTGTGGCATCTCAAGACAGAGTGCAAGGAATTTTGGAGCCCCTTGATGACTGAGACATCCCAATCTGAGCGTAGGCATTCCACACTGATTGCTACTACTTCTCAGGACTTACAAGGTCCCTACTGGGGGCTTCTGAATGTGTTGTGGCTGTGTGATCACACTGGCTTTCTTAAAGGTGTCTTCTCCTCTTGATGCCTCTGGACATAGAATTTTGAGGCTAAAGAGTCTCTTGTCCTTCTCTATTCACTTTGGGAATCTGATAACTTGGTTGTTTTCACTGGTATTGGCTTTGCTGTCATCCTTTCCTATTGGCCATAGTCTTCAGGCTGACTTTAAAATTTTGTATGTTGTTTTTTTTTAAAGAAGATTATATATGTATTTTTTTCTCCCTTACCACCTCCCCCACTGGAAAAAAATGAAAGCACAATCATTTTAATAAATGTATGTATAGTCAAGCAAAACAAATATTCATATTGACCATGTCAAAAATGTATCTTATTCTGCATACTTGTGCAGTAGGTGGCACAGCAGATAGAATGCCAGTTCTGGAATTAGGAGGGCCTCTTACTTGCTATATGACCATAGGCAAGTCACTTAACCCTGTTTGCCTCAGTTTCCTCATCTGAAAAATGAGCTAGAGAAAAGAATGTCTTCTCCAGTATCTTTGCCAAGAAAATCCCAAATTGGATCATGTCAAATATGACTAAAAAAAGTAACTGAACAAAATCTACATATTTAGTCCATTCTCTGTCAGAAACTGTGTCACATACTTTATCAGAGGTCCTATGGAATCATTGTTGACAATGATTAAGATCAGAAATATTAAGTCTTTCAAAATTATTAAATTTTACAATTTTTGTTCTGGAGAGCTTTTGTGCGGTTATGAGTTGTAAGGAGTCACCATAGTTTCTCATTGAATTTCTTGATAATTATTTCATCTGGTGTGAATTTCAAGTTTTGGATGGAATAGGCATATTGAAGTTGGGTGAGTCTTCTTCCATTAAGGCAGCCATCTTGGCCAGACATTTGAAAATGTGGTCTTTAGAAAAGTCCAATAATTACCTCTCCGGGGTCACTTTTCCAATCTTTGTCATTGTTCCTATGCATTTGCTTCAAACAGATTAAATATCTGAAACCATTATCATAGTTTTAGTATATCCTTCATTTTAACATTGCCCAGTAATAAGTCTGAAAAAATGGTATCATAAAATAGAATCTACGGTATTGAGAAAAGCAGTAAACTCTTGTTTATTCTCACAAGAGTCCAATCTCTTCATGTAGAAGAGAGGATATGGATGAATGATTAGTGTTTGATTAACTTCACAAAATCTGAATGTCCTAATTTTATCTTTCAGGTTTCTCTTATTGAACCAGGAAACTATGCTCCTGCTACTAATATTTTGAAAACACACAATTTGGAAAAATACTGGAACAAATTTGATGATGATGAAACTAAAGCAAGCTATAGTAAAGAATACCTACAATTCTTTGCTAACAAAGTGGACAAAATACTAAAAAATGGAAAGCATGACTCAAAAGAAGTTATTGATGCTATAATTGATGCTTTAGTGAATCAAGAGCCAAAAAGAAGATATTTGGTTGCTACTTTTAAGGAAAAATGTTTGGTCTATGCTTTTTGCTATTTGCCAGCATCCCTACTAGAGTTATTCCTTTGTTCATATTGAAATAATTCTTTAAAGAGTCTTAAAGAATAAGAAATATTAAAAAATACCATGGTAATTATATGGTTCATTTATCAAAAATAGAAAAACACTAAAAATCATATCATATAGTATCTAACAGCCAAGATGCCTGAAAATATATTTTTAAATTGTTAAAGCCACTAACATGAAAATCCAGTTTATTTAGAGCTGAGCAGTCAGTTTTGTACAACTTTTGAAATATGAACAAACATCTGACCACACATTTAATTCAAATAAATGAATTTTCAATGTGCTAAATAGTCATGTGATCCTCTTCTTATCCAGGCTAAACATGCCAGGTAACTTCAATCAATGTATGGCATGGGCTACTACTGCCCCTCCACCATTCTGGTCAATCTTCTCTGACATTGTCTAACTTATCAATATCCTTCCTAAAACATGGTGCTCAGAACTGAACACATGACTTCACATATGGTCTAAGAAAGAATGCAGTGGTACATTATTACCTGGAATATTTCTGAAAGGTACACGTTTCTTAATTTGGCCAAGGCTTACATCAGCTTTTGGGGCCTCTATGTGGACTCATATGGAGCTGGTAGTCCACTGAAATTCCTCGATCTTTTCTATGCAACTGCTAAGGCTACAGCTTCCTCCTCAGCCCACCCTAGCACTTCTGAGGTTGTTTTGTTGAACTCAAGTGCAGGATTTGGTATTTTTATCCTTTCTGAACTTCACCTTTTATTCAGCACAGTTTTCTAGACTCTTACCAGTCATACAATTATACATTTAAAGCTGGAAAGGTCCTTGGTCCATCTAGTCCACCTCCATTAACAGAGGAGGAAACTGAGACTGAAAGAGGTAAAGTGACTTGCTCCTTTTTTATATGAGCTTACTAAGCCTTTTTTTTTTTAACCATAGTGTAGACCAGGAGGTATTAACATTTTTTGTACTTTGGACTCCTTTGGGAGTCTTGTGAAGCCATACTTGTTTAATATTTGGAAACGCTCATTTTTAGTCAGAGCAAGGGTTCTTAATCTGGGGGCTGTGAACTTGGTTTTTGGGGGGTATTTTGTAATATTATATTTTCCCAATTACATGTAAAAACAATTTTTAACATTCATTTTTCAAAATCTTGAGTTCAAAGTTCTCTCCCTCACCCCTCCTTAATGTGGTAGGCAATTTGATATGGGTTGTACACACGCAGTCTTGCAAAACATATTGTGAACTTGTTTTTAAAAAATATTTTGATGTCTATATTTTAATATAATTGGTTTCCTTTATAATCCTAGGCATTTTATTTTATGCGTTTAAAAATATTATTCTGAGAAGAAATTTGCAGGTTTCAGCATTAGACTGTCAAAGGCATCTTAGACATAGTAAAGTTAAGAATCTCTGAGTTAATTGTTAATGAAAATGAAGATGTAATTTCTATTTTCCCATTCAAGTTCACGGACTTCCTGAAATTTATCCACAGACCCCCAGAGGTCCACTGAGCTCAGTTTAAGAATCCTTGCCATAAACCTATGATTTTTGTCATGTGGGAAATATCCATATGTGGACATTTCCCTCATGATGCAGATAAGCTTATGCCTTTAGAGGGGCAGTGTGTATAGAAATAATAGAGAAAGCTAGGTGGTATAGTGGATAGAGTGCTGGGCCCGGAGTCAGAAAGACCTGCAATCAAATCCAGCCTCAGATACTTGCTAGCTGTATGACCTTGGGCAAGTTATTAAACCTCTTTAATAACTTTAATTAAACTGTAAAATGGGGATAATAAAAGCAGGATTGTTGTGATAATCCAATGAGATAATATTTGTAAAGTGCTTAACACAGTGCCTGATACATAGTAAGCACTATATAAATGCTAGCTATCCTATTATTATTATGTTTGTTGATCAGAAGAATGCCAATAGTCAGTCTTCCACTTTAGGAAATGAATTTCCATGCAGCTAGTTAAATGGAAGATGGATTGCTTACTTGCAAAACACACACACACACACTTAATTCTATTTGCTATAGAGATAGCACAGACAGGTCCCCATGACTAGCACTGTCTTTTCTCACTTCTAATTCTTAGAACCCTCAGCTCAAGTATTATCTCCTACAAAAGGACTTCCCTGATTTCTTCAGGTGTTACTGCCATCTTTCTTCCCCAAAATTATTTTGTATGGATTTCATATGAAGCAAGATCCTGGACTCATTCTCCTCAGTTACATCACCCACTTAGAATTCTTGGGTAATGCTGAGGAAGCAAGAGTGACTTTCTCTAATACTACTGGTTTAAGCTCTCATTCTGGTGTGTTCTCCTTACTGTTAACATCTAGTGATTAGCACCTCCATTCCATTAATCAATTAATACCAATTATTTTAAAGGGACATTTACTACAAATATATAGCAAGAATGGAAGTACAAATATTTCTCTCCCCCCAAACCCTCCACACACTTGCAGGCGCACTCTCTGCTGTGTTATGGTGTTCATCCTTTGTTTTTCGAAGAGGATCAATGACATATCATGGGTGATGTCTTGACTTGCTCATGAATTGGACTGAAGTGAGGCAGAGTTACACAAAGTCATCAGCCTCACTCTCTCTCCCAGAGTCATCAAAGTCCGGTGGCAGCTTAGGATGCAGTGGATGACCTCTGTCCCAGGAAAAAGTGGGCTCAGACTTTATGCAATTTCTCCATAATACTTCCCTTACCAAGTTCACTGCCAAATATGGATTGCTGAGTCCTCATCTTTGCTAGTGCTGAGATGAGTCAAGCAGGTCACTCTGAAGTTCATTCCTCACCATTTACCTTTCAGAAAATCTTGGTATGGATTTTATCTCCTGGACGTCTAAGGGCTCACTCTCACGACCTTTTGGAGCTCACAAGATTGTAGCCATCTTCAATCTCTTTCACTTAAGAACAGGAAAAAACCAACACCATAGAAACAGAAGCAATAGCAAGTTTTTTGTTTTGTGTCTGGGGAGGCAATTGAGGTTAAGTGACTTGCCTAGGGTCACACAACTAGTAAGCATCAAGGGTCTGGTCTGAGAGCAGATTTGAACTCAGGTCCTGCTGACTCCAGGGGTCGGTGCTTTATCCACTGCACCACGTAGCTGCCCCCTTGCAAGTTGTTTTTTTTTTTAGTTGCCTTTCTAGGGTTCTCTAAATATACCATCATACCATCTGCAAAAAAGTGATACTTTTGTTTTTTTCTTTGACTAGGCTTGTTCTTTCATTATTTTTTCTTGTCTTACTGCTATAACTAGCATTTCTAATACTAGTGATAATGGACATCCTTGCTTCACAATGTTCTTATTAGAAATGCTTCCTGCTTATCCCCATTAGAAATAATGCTTGTTCATGGTTTTAGATAGATACTATTTATCATTCAAAGGAAAGTTCTGTTTATTCCTGTGCTTTCTAATGATTTTAACAGGAATAAGTGTTGTATTTTGTCAAAAAGCTTTTTCTGTATCTATTGAAATAATCATACAATTTTTGTCATTAATATGGTCAATTACACTTATAGTTTCACTAATATTGAAGTAGCCTTGAATCCCTGGTATAAAGCCAGCCTGGTCATAGTGTATGAGAAGAATAAAAAAAGAGGAGGGAAACCAGTTCAGCAAAATTAGACAACAAAACTAAAGATGTAGGATTGTATGTATTATTCTCCACTAATTTTCTTCTGCTTTAAAAAGAATACATGTGTAGGGGGAGGAAAAGGGAGATGTACAAGTCTCCTTTTAGATGTGAAATAGAAGTTTCTAATTTCTTCATGTTCTCAGCAGCTACAAACAGATGTCTTTCTGGCGTCATCAAATAGTCTTTGTAGCCATATGCATGCTTACCAGCCTTCCTTCTTTCATGGCCATTTGGGGCCATAAAGAAAACCTAAATGCATTTAAATCCTTTCTTGTGCCCCCTCATAATTCTGACTAGCAGCTATGGAGAACAAGCTTGTGGTACAAAACACAACTCAAGTTCCAAGTTTGTCCATGAATTTAAACTTACATTCAGGAAGACACTTCTTTTTCCTCTCATTCCTATGACATTGACACATATTTTTTCTGCCCTCTACACCAAATATTCAGACATCTGAATGTCTTGTCTCTATTGTTTTTAGCCTCAATCTAATCCCACTGGCATAGATAAACACAGGCCTGCAAAAGCCTAGCCCAAACCCTGGGAAGTAAACACTGTCATCCTGACAATGTGGTACCTCAGATCATTAGATCATTCCCTTATTACTTTGATCTTTTCTCTGCTAGCTTGGCATTCTTACGGCCTCTTAAGGGATATACCCTCCTCCTCTGATTGGTGTCTAATGAATTCCACTGAGATTCTACTTCAAGGACCATTTCTTTATCATTTTGTATTTCTTGAGATAAAATGGTTGCAGAAATGAGGTCAGGTATTTCTGAAGATAAAGTTTTCTAAATATCTTGAGAGGTTTAGGAAGAACTGAGACCTGTATTTGGATGGAAGTAACTTGCTATTCAAAGATCTGCCTTTTCTCTTGTAAATTTTAACTCTTCAGCTACAGCAACTTCAATATTCCTTTACCTTTTTTTCAATATAGTAAGAGAGACCTAAAAGGGAAGCTACAGTAATGAAAATTAGCAAAATGAAGTACAAATTATACAAAACAATGAAAAATTACATTAACTATAATGATAATGAGACAAAAATGGCAAACCTTATGGGATAAAGTGAAAACAGTACTTGAAGGAAAAGTGATATTTCCGAAAACACTGACAAAATAGAAAAAAGATAATAAACTAAGCATTCAGTTTAAAAAATTTTTAAAAGCAAATTAGCAACCCTAAACCAAGTACAAAAATAATCTTAACAGTAAGAAGTAGAATAATGTAACTTATGAGCAAAAAATTTTTAGAAAGGATAACATTGAATTATTTCTTAAAAAGAAAAAAACTAATCACAAACCATTAGCCAAGCCAATAAAGAGAAAAAAATGGACAGAGTAAATTCACAAAAACCAGGGAGGAAATAAAGATAATTATCAGAAACT